TATGTATAAGACAGGGAGAAAACACTACTGATGTGGGTGCCCCACATTAAGTCGTCTTTTGCGAAACAACCGATCAGTTTCTAATAATTACTCTTGTTGCTTATTCGTGTCGCTTCCCCGAACAATAAAACCGAACGAACGAGATAAGTAACTACGGACGAACATGATAAGTAACTATGGACGAACGAGATAAGTAACTACGGACGAACATGATAAGTAACTATGGACGAACGAGATAAGTAACTACGGACGAACATGATAAGTAACTATGGACGAACGAGATAAGTAACTACGGACGAACAAAATCAAAATAAGTAAATACGAACGAACGAGATAAGTAACTACGGACGAACAAAATCAAAATAAGTAAATACGGACGTACGAGATAAGTAAAGACGGACGAACGAGATAGGTAAATACGGACGTACGAGATAAGTAACTACGGAAGAACGAGATAAGTAACTACGGACGAACGAGATAAGTAACTACGGACGCACGAGATAAGTAAAGACGGACGAACGAGATAAGTAACTACGGACGCACGAGATAAGTAAAGACGGACGAACGAGATAAGTAACTACGGACGAACGAGATAAGTAAAGACGGACGAACGGGATAGGTAACTACGGACGAACGAGATAAGTAAAGATGTACGGACAAGAGAAGTACATACAAGTGAGAAGTCATGCGAACGAGAGAAAGTATTTAAAGCATTAAAAATCTGACTGGCTTACGTATTGACGCCGCAAAGCATGCCTTCGTTAAAAATCTATTTTATAAGCTCCCTTGATATTTAACTATTTCTTAAGAATGCCAGCGGCATGTGTGTTTTTGTGAAAAAGTTAAGGAGGCTTAACAATCAAAATTCATTGAATACAGTGTATATTGTATTGACAATATCATACATTGTATATTGTATTGTCAATATCATACAGTGCATATTGCATTGTCAATATCATACAGTGCATATTGTATTGTCAATATCATACATTGTATATTGTATTGTCAATATCATACAGTGCATATTGTATTGTCAATATCATACAGTGCATATTGTATTGTCAATATCATACATTGTATATTGTATTGACAATATAATACAGTGTATATTGTATTGACAATATAATACAGTGTATATTGTATTGTCAATATCATACAGTGCATATTGTATTGTCAATATCATACAGTGCATATTGTATTGTCAATATCATACATTGTATATTGTATTGACAATATAATACAGTGTATATTGTATTGACAATATAATACATTGTATATTGTATTGTCAATATCATACAGTGTATATTGTATTGACAATATCATACATTGTATATTGTATTGTCAATATCATACAGTGTATATTGTATTGACAATATCATACATTGTATATTGTATTGTCAATATCATACGTTGTATATTGTATTGACAATAAAATACAGTGTAAATTGTATTGACAATATAATACATTGTATATTGTATTGTCAATATCATACAGTGTATATTGTATTGACAATATCATACATTGTATATTGTATTGTCAATATCATACATTGTCTATTGTATTGACAATATCATACAGTGCATTTCGTATATAGGTTAATATATACTAGTTCTCATTCTTCTTCAACATAATAGTAAGCCGTCAATAGAATGAATGCTGATTTTATGTCATACGTTGGGGTATGTACATACATAGATGTACATTTTTTAAATTCCCATATTTAAAAAAGAGAGAATGTTTAGGATGTAGGGGATATAAACACCAAAAGGGGAGAGGGCAGCATGGAAGCTTTCACTGTCAGCAGTATTGGCTACTTACGGGAGGACATCCCATTCAGTGATTGTGCAGAGATAAAGAAAAAACTCCTGACGTCCTTCGATGTCTGCACATAGTTAAATGCATGATGATTGCGGTGAAAAGACCGTATTCTCGTGTCTGCCGAAAATATTTCATTTGTATAGCATATTGCAACAAGTACCAGTCTGAAGTGTTTTCTGCTTGTCTGAAGATGAAGCCACTATAATTGGTTAACAGTATACCTATCTTGGTTAATTGATTATCGTTACCTTGAACGTTCAAAAAGCTTTTTTTGATAGACGCCAAGTCTATAAAACTTCACGTGCAGACACGCCGGCGCTGACTTTGACATAGACCAGGTGCAATGTCGTAATTGCAGCTTAATGTATCAAGTCTTTATGACTTGACGTGAACTTACTGTGAAACTACGAAGGAGTGCATTGTCACTGTACGAGTGCTCTTTAGGTTGTTAGTTGGTTCCTTTGTTGTTTATCTTCTCATTTGAAAATGTGACATTATTTACTTGGATTGACCAAGGTTTATATGGCGGGTGAAGTCGATAAAGCAGAAAATGCTTACTCCTCCGAAATACCTGGTCTTATTCTCCTTGAACTTTTTCAGGAGTCTCTGTGCAAGTTATTTTTTGTTCATAATTTGCCCTAGTCTTATTGGATTTGACTTTGGATTATGATTATGTTAATATGTTGGTTAATTCCTGTTATTTTACGGGATTGCCAGGCCACTCGGAGTGATAGGGCAACATCTTTAATCCAAATCAAAGTGGTCCTTTTTTCAATCATCCATTTAGTTCTCTTGTAATGAGAGTTTTCTTTTTCATCACTTGACAACATTTTCGTCGAGTTTGGTGGCAAGACCTTCCAACAGACTATTGGTATACCTTTGGGAACTGTGTCCCTCTGTATGGTGACTTGTTTTCGTTCGAGGCTGAATTTATTGAAGACCTTATCAAAACAGATAATAAGATTTTGCAAAGCCGTTAAACGTCACTTTCATATATACTGATGACGTCTTGTCTTTAAATGAAAAGAAATCTGTTGAGCAAGTCCATCGTTTATACTAACCAGAATTGGAAATCAAAGACACGACGGACTCTTCTACATCAGCTACTTATCTTGGTATTTTCTTACAACGAAACTAACATGGACAGCTTTCCACCAAGTTGTATGATAAGTTCGTGAATTTAAGTATTTTGAATTTTCATTTCTGGATAGCTTCATTTCTGGATAGCAACATTCCTGCATCTCCAACCTATGGTGTTTCCACGTCACAGTTGATTCGATAATCAAGGGCCCACTTCCATTATTACGAATTTTGTGCATGATGTCATCACATGACTCGTAAAGGGTGTCAAATGATGTATGTTATTGAAGATTTTGGTGAAGTTTCGCGGTCGTCATAATGATCTCTTTGATAAATATTCTATTTCTTTCTGCGACATGAAATTGGACATATTTGATGCTCGTTAAGTTTGCCTGTTGGTTCCGTTGTTATATAAACAAAATCGCTTACTCTTCTGGAACGTATGGTTAATTCGGCTTGTACTTTTTCAGGAATCGCCATGTAAATCTATCTGCTGTTCGTACTTTGTCCTGGTTTAATTAATTTGAGTTTGGATTATGATTATGTTCATCTGTGGTACATTTATATAACTTTTTATATCGCTTGTTCAACTTTAAAACTCGTATATGTAACTTTTAACTGGTATCTACGACTTCTCGTCTCATCCGTACGACTTCTCATCTCATTCGTACGACTTCTCATCTCATTCGAACGACTTCTCGACTCATTCCTGTGACGTCTCGTTTCATTCGTACGACTTCTCGTCTCATTCGTACGACTTCTCATCTCATTCGTTCGACTTCTCATCCCATCCGTACGACTTCTCGTCTCATTCGTACGACTTCTCGTCTCATTCGTTCGACTTCTCATCTCATTCGTACGACTTCTCGTCTCATTCATATGACTTCTCATCTCATTCGTTCGACTTCTCGTCTCATTCGTACGACTTCTCGTTTCATTCATATGACTTCTCATCTCATCCGTATGACTTCTCGTCTCATTCGTACGACTTCTCGTTTCATTCATATGACTTCTCATCTCATCCGTACGACATCTCATCTCATTCGTACAACTTCTCGTTTCATGTCGTACCTGCGTAAATACCTGGACACACAACAGTACATCTGGACACATACTTGCTTACCTGGACACACAAAGGTACGTATCCGGTGTTGCATACCTTATGCCAGGTCTAGACATGTGATTATATGTAGCAATTTGTAAAAAGTAAGACTAGGTTTGCTGGAGGCATTGTGTAAAGAATATGAATGAGCGTTTAAAATGTCATTATTTTAATCCCTTAATTATCTAAATAAAATTAAATAAGTTTGTATAACATAATTCTATACCTGTTTAATCAACAGTTAAGTATTTGACAATTTTAACACTGTCAAGAAAACATTAATTTCAATACAACTAGATCACCGGATGACACTATATTGTTCATCCAAGTACAATCAACTAACTGTCCAGAAATATATATATTCAGCTATTGGACGAAAGTGTTAAGTCAGCTGTCAAATTGTCAGGACGCATTGTCGTCAGAATAGCACTTTTGTAGTGCAGGCAGCTTGAGGAAATATTGCTGCTTCCTCCATTCTGCCCCTAATTGGCTATTAGCAGAGGATCATAAACTTTACACTTTCGTTTCCAAGAATTGTCAAATCCGAGTCATTTGTACTCTTGATAAAGAAAGCAAAAGTTTTCAAAAGATCACAATAAATACATTTTCCAAAGGCAAAATGCTAAACATCTTATAAAAATCCAAGAAATGTCACATTTCCAAATGCTGTACATTAAAAGCAGTGATTTCCTTACCTGTATAGAGGTTGCTGAGGAGGGTGATCGGAATACAAGATATACATTTATATAAAACGTGATGAGTTTGGCTTACCTGTTAAGAGGTTACTGATGAGGGTGTTCGGAATACAAGATGTACGTTTATATAAAACGTGATGAGTTTGGCTTACCTGTATAGAGGTTGCTGAGGAGGGTGTTCGGAATACAAGATATACGTTTACATAAAACGTGATGAGTTTGGCTTACCTGTATAGAGGTTGCTGAGGAGGGTGTTCGGAATACAAGATATACGTTTATATAAAACGTGATGAGTTTGGCTTACCTGTATAGAGGTTGCTGAGGAGGGTGATCGGAATGCAGAAGATGGACACTAGAACATCGGCGATGGCCAGATTCACGATGAAATAATTAGTGGCGTTGTGCATGGAGCGATTCCTCACTACCACCGTGATGACCATAAGGTTTCCACATAGGGCAAACAGAAAGACTGCAGAGTATACACAGGAGTAGATCACGATCATGTGAAGGGGCTGTTTAAGGAGGTTGTAGTAGGTAACACTGGTATTGTCTGATACAGTGGTCATCTCCATGTAACTAGAGACCAGAGATTCTGTCATAGCCGTCATGGTTCTGTGTTTAGTAAACCATTAACTGCGTGGAATAAATGTTATTATCTCTTCGTCAATCATACTGTCGACCCTGACATTCAAAATTGAGATCATGTCCTAATAAGTGTCCGTGTACAGAAGGAACCCAATAATCCAGATACGCATTCATTAAATTGTATAGCCACGGAACACACAATGTATTAACACAACATCACGTAAGCCGTGGTCAGCGATCACTTGTTACACGCTCAATCACTGTAGCCACTGGGCATGCTCGTGTTAAGTATTCCACTAACATAACTATCAGGACACTAAGTGCCATTTATACGTCATCACAGTCACATTTTTGACATCATTCTCGAATCTGTATACACGCGTGACGTCTATCTTGGCACTTGGTTTCCACTTCAACCATTTCTGCTTATTCTCTGTAAATAAATAAGAAAAAAATAATAGAGCCTTGTGTTATACCTCCTTATCTTATGTATTCTAATAGAGCCACACATCCTACATCTCTTACACCTAGTGTCATAGTGGTCACCACAAATATATCCTAAATACAGCCACACATCCTACATCTCTTACACCTAGTGTCATAGTAGAACCACAAATATATCCTAAATACAGCCACACATCCTACATCTCTTACATCTAGTGTCGTAGTGGTCACCATAAATATATCCTAAATACGGCCACACATCCTACATCTCTTACACCTAGTGTCATAGTGGTCACCACAAATATATCCTAAATACGGCCACACATCCTACATCTCTTACACCTAGTGTCACAGTGGTCACCACAAATATATCCTAAATACAGCCACACATCTCTTACACCTAGTGTCATAGTGGTCACCATAAATATATCCTAAATACAGCCACACATCCTACATCTCTTACACCTAGTGTCATAGTGGTCACCACAAATATATCCTAAATACAGCCACACATCCTACATCTCTTACACCTAGTGTCATAGTGGTCACCACAAATATATCCTAAATACAACCACACATCTCTTACACCTAGTGTCATAGTGGTCACCACAAATATATCCTAAATACAGCCACACATCCTACATCTCTTACACCTAGTGTCATAGTGGTCACCACAAATATATCCTAAATACAGCCACACATCTCTTACACCTAGTGTCATAGTGGTCACCACAAATATATCCTAAATACAGCCACACATCCTACATCTCTTACACCTAGTGTCATAGTGGTCACCACAAATATATCCTAAATACAGCCACACATCTCTTACACCTAGTGTCATAGTGGTCACCACAAATATATCCTAAATACAGCCACACATCCTACATCTCTTACACCTAGTGTCATAGTGGTCACCACAAATATATCCTAAATACAGCCACACATCCTACATCTCTTACACCTAGTGTCATAGTGGTCACCACAAACATATCCTAAATACAGCCACACATCCTACATCTCTTACACCTAGTGTCATAGTGGTCACCACAAATATATCCTAAATACAGCCACACATCCTACATCTCTTACACCTAGTGTCATAGTGGTCACCACAAATATATCCTAAATACAGCCACACATCTCTTACACCTAGTGTCATAGTGGTCACCACAAATATATCCTAAATACAGCCACACATCTCTTACACCTAGTGTCATCTGGTCACCACAAATATATCCTTACAGCCACACATGTACATCTCTTACACCTAGTGTCATAGTGGTCACCACAAATATATCCTAAATACGGCCACACATCTCTTACACTTAGTGTCATAGTGGTCACCACAAATATATCCTAATTACAGCCACACATCCTACATCTCTTACACCTAGTGTCATAGTGGTCACCACAAATATATCCTAAATACAGCCACACATCCTACATCTCTTACACCTAGTGTCATAGTGGTCACCACAAATATATCCTAAATACAGCCACACATCCTACATCTCTTACACCTAGTGTCATAGTGGTCACCACAAATATATCCTAAATACAGCCACACATCCTACATCTCTTACACCTAGTGTCATAGTGGTCACCACAAATATATCCTAAATACAGCCACACATCCTACATCTCTTACACCTAGTGTCATAGTGGTCACCACAAATATATCCTAAATACAGCCACACATCCTACATCTCTTACACCTAGTGTCATAGTGGTCACCACAAATATATCCTAAATACAGCCACACATCTCTTACACCTAGTGTCATAGTGGTCACCATAAATATATCCTAAATACGGCCACACATCTCTTACACCTTGTGTCATAGTGGTCACCACAAATATATCCTAAATACAGCCACACATCCTACATCTCTTACACCTAGTGTCATAGTGGTCACCAAATATATCCTAAATATGGCCACACATCCTACATCTCTTACACCTAGTGTCATAGATATGGTACAACCACACACTACACTTACAATATATCACAAATATAAATACAACCACACATCCTACATCTCTTACACCTAGTGTCATAGTGGTCACCACAAATATATCCTAAATACAGCCACACATCTCTTACACCTAGTGTCATAGTGGTCACCACAAATATATCCTAATTACAGCCAAACAATCTACATCTCTTACACCTAGTGTCATAGTGGTCACCACAAACATATCCTAAATATAGCCACACATCCTACATCTCTTACACTTAGTGTCATAGTGGTCACCACAAATATATCCTAAATACAGCCACACATCCTACATCTCTTACACCTAGTGTCATAGTGGTCACCACAAATATATCCTAAATACAGCCACACATCCTACATCTCTTACACCTAGTGTCATAGTGGTCACCACAAATATATCCTAAATACATCCACAACATCTCGTACACCTACTGTCATAGTGGTCACCACAAATATATCCTAAATACCACCACACATCCTACATCTCTTACACCTAGTGTCATAGTGGTCACCACAAATATATCCTAAATACGCCACACATCCTACATCTCTTACATGTCCTAGTGTCAAATATAAAATGCCACACATCCTTAGTGTCATAGTGGTCACCACAAATATATCCTAAATACGGCCACACATCTCTTACACCTAGTGTCATAGTGGTCACCAAAAATATATCCTAAATACAGCCACACATCCTACATCTCTTACACCTAGTGTCATAGTGGTCACCACAAATATATCCTAAATACAGCCACACATCCTACATCTCTTACACCTAGTGTCATAGTGGTCACCACAAATATATCACCACACATCTCTTACACCTAGTGTATAGTGGTCACACAAATACATCCACACATCTCTTACACCTAGTGTCATAGTGGTCACCACAAATATATCCTAAATACAGCCACACATCCTACATCTCTTACACCTAGTGTCATAGTGGTCACCACAAATATATCCTAAATACGGCCACACATCTCTTACACCTAGTGTCATAGTGGTCACCACAAATATATCCTAAATACGGCCACACATCTCTTACACCTAGTGTCTATGGTCACCACATATAAAATGTATCCACACATCTCTTACACTAGTGTATATGGTCACCACAAATATATCCTAAATACAGCCACACATCCTACATCTCTTACACCTAGTGTCATAGTGGTCACCACAAATATATCCTAAATACAGCACACACATCTCTTACACTAGTGTATATGGTCACCACAAATATGTCTTACACCTAGTGTCATAGTGGTCAAAATATCTAATTACAGCCAAAATACATCCTTACACAGTCTCATATATCACATATGTAAATATGTCATCCTACATCTCTTACACAAATATAGTGGTCACCACAAATAAATACAGCCACACATCTCTTACACCTAGTGTCATAGTGGTCACCACAAATATATCCTAAATACAGCCACACATCTCTTACACCTAGTGTCATAGTGGTCACCACAAGTAGATCCTAAATACAACCACACATCTCTTACACCTAGTGTATATGGTCATCCGAAATACAGCCACACATCTCTTACAATATATCACAAATATAAATACAGCCACACATCCTACATCTCTCATAGTGGTCACCACAAATATATTACAGCCACACATCTCATCTCTTACACCTAGTGTCATAGTGGTCACCACAAATATATCCTAAATACAGCCACACATCTCTTACACACTAGTTATATGGTCACCACAAATATATCCTAAATATGTCACCACACATCTCTTACACAGTGTATAGTGGTCACCACAAATATATCCTAAATACAGCCACACATCCTACATCTCTTACACCTAGTGTCATAGTGGTCACCACAAATATATCCTAAATACAGCCACACATCTCTTACACCTAGTGTATAGTGGTCACCACAAATATGTCTAAATACAGCCACACATCCTACATCTCTTACACCTAGTGTCACATAGTGGTCACCCACATAATATATCCTACATCTCTTACACCTACAGTGGTCACCACATATATTCACATGTAAAATACAACCACACTCCTACATCTCTTACACCTAGTGTCATAGTGGTCACCACAAATATATCCTAAATACAGCCACACATCCTACATCTCTTACACCTAGTGTCATAGTGGTCACCACAAATATATCCTAAAAACAGCCACACATCTCATCTCTTACACTAGTGTATAGTGGTCACATATAAAATGTCTCCACATCTCTTCACACAAATATATCCTAAATACAGCCACACATACATCTCTACCTAGTGTCATAGTGGTCACCACAAATATATCCTAAATACAGCCACACATCCTACATCTCTTACACCTAGTGTCATAGTGGTCACCACAAATATATCCTAAATACGGCCACACATCCTACATCTCTTACACCTAGTGTCATAGTGGTCACCACAAATATATCCTAAATACAGCCACACATCACATCTCTTACACCTAGTGTCATAGTAGTCAACACAAATATATCCTAAATACAGCCACACATCCTACATCTCTTACACCTAGTGTCTTAGTGGTCACCACAAATATATCCTAAATACGGC